AAGAAATCTAACTAATAAACTAATATAATAATGCTAATAAAAATATATATATATAAATTAAGAAATAAGGTTAACAACATGATGGACTCTACTTTAGATATTCCCTATATATAGAAGTAAAAAAAGTACCTAGTTATACATATATTTAATTAAAAAATAAATCTGAATGGTCAAAAAATTTTGGATTTTAAGTAAAATAATTTCATCTTTATGAAAAACTATTTCAATTTTTTTTCTGAAATTGTAATTTTAAAATTTCAAAATAATTTTGTGTGCAAGTATAGTTGATATAACTCTTTCAAAAACAATTTAAAAAAGATAGTCATATCTGTAATTAGAAGATTCAAGATTGGTTCACAAATGAAATCATCATATATAGTTGTTTCAGATATTGAATGGAATTATGCAGAAAATAATAGTGAATTTCAAACTTTAATCTCTTCTAACAAAGGAAAGATGAAACCTCACGAGAATTTAGATAACCAACTTAATATTATAGAAGAAAAATATATGAAAATGAATACTTAATTCTCAAAAAAAAAAAGAACTTTATTCTTAATTCAAAACTGTTAAAAAATGAGGATTTCATTAATATAGTTACATAGATTAGAGATGGTAAACCTGTTGTTCAAGAAAATTCTAAAGAAATAATTGATAGTCAAAAAATAATTTTAGATTAAAATTTTACCTGATTCACATTATCAAATTAAATTTTTTTTCAAAAATAAGAAAAAAAATAAAATACTTACTATGTAATTTGAATAACAATAATAATAAAAATTTTTAAATATTAGTAAACTCTTTTAAATAATAATGTATAATATTAATTAATAAAAAAAAAAAAGAAATAATATATGTAAACTGAATAAACAATTAATATAATAAGTACTCAAATCTATAAAAATAATATCTTAAATGTTCATTCCAATATTTGTTATATATCTTATAAAAAATAAAACAACAATTCTAAATATATAATATAAATACAAATTGTTAATAAAAAAATAACTGGTATATACTTAAAACTATTTGTTTATTATAATCTAAATATTTGATTTTAATATTTAAATCAAATTATGAAGCAAGAACAAATTAAAATCTAACTCATAAAATATATCTATTTATTTATTTATTTATTTATCTAAATACTTAATAAAATTATAATATTGATCTTTCTTAACTGTAAAATCTTATCAAATCTGATTAGATAAAAATATAAAACTTATGTTCAATTATCAAATCTAAAGCTTTTTACTTATTACTTTTTTACATTATATACAGTCCAATTTAGAAAACTTTCAAAATTCACAAAATGACTATTCATTCGAATCTTATATCTTCAGAAATGAAATAAATCAAAACTTACCAAATGTACCTTGTTCTGATAATATTTGACTATTAACTGAAACAAACTTTCAATTAGCATTTGATTTTAATCCTATTACTTAACAAGCCAATCTTCAACACTTATTAACTAAATTTCAAACAAAAATTTTATATGACCATTCCTATATTTCTTGTGCTTATTGTTCAATACTGATGATGAAATCTTTAGTACAATGGATTCCTTATCGTAATGAAGAAGTTTATTATTTAACTAATGTCTTTGATATTTCTATTATATATGAATAAATAGAAGAAATATTAAGTAAGTTGCTATTTGTAATGGATGCAAGAACCAAAGAACATGTCATTATCCTCCTATACTAACTCTCATCCCTCTTGAAATTTATAATATTTCCATAATACATCGAAGATATCTTTCTCCTATTCATATGAACTGCCTATTAGGTTATGTCACTGGTACAAACTGATATACAAATTACACTGGTTGAAAATTGATAAATCATATACACATCGGGTATCTGATATGTGCATGGTATGTAACTAATATCAAATGTATATTGGGTGTATATCAGGTACCTGATATACGTTGTTATGGGTATTATTGTTAACATCTATTCAATAGTTTTTTTAAGGAGTTTATAGTCCTTCCCCATAGGTACAAGACTTCCAGTTTGGTTGTTTCTTGAATTTTAGAAGGGACTAGTTAGTTTTTAGATAGAACTAACAAACTAATATTCATCCACTATAATTATAATATATCCATTTTAATATTATATTTCTTAACTTCCAAATTTCCTTAATATTATATATTTATAGTTTTCTCATAACATCCTTATTAATTTATCTCCACAATTTCATTATAACATCCTTATTAATTTATCTTCATAATTTTATTATAACATCCTTATTAATTTATCTTCATAATTTTATCATAACATCCTTAAATATATCTTCCTAACTTCCTTTTAT